GCCAAAGAAGCAGAACCTAAAATTATAATGTTGCAATGAATAAACAGCTACTCAGACAGAACCCAATCCAGGAATTCAGGATCTTGCATTTATGGCTGTTGCAACTGCTCATTTGCAAAACTTAAGTGGCATAAGTATTGACATCTGTTCTTGGGTCAACCCTGCATGGACTATACCTTGTTTGCCACATCTACCGTATTTTCCGGACTATAAGTCACAGTTTTTTTCGTTTGGTGCGTTTTATACTCTGGAGTGATTTATATTGAAATTATTAACACATTATAATATCATTGATGAGTTCTTTTCACATTAAACTGCAAGAGGGCGCTGTAGGCCCGCATTGATAAGCCGACGATGAGTCTGACGTAAGCGACATAGAAGAGGAAGCGCTGCATCTTCTACCTCTGGAGTTGTTTAAAAGTGACACAGAGGATGAAGATTTCATTGGATTTCATGATTTGGAGTGACAGTGATGGTTTGGTAAACTTGTTAGCATGTTCTTTATGCGATAGTTATCTGAATAATATGTTACGTGAACATACCAAGGCACGTTCTCAGTTCTTTGTTTCTGTGTCACAAAACGCTAGCATATCGTACACTGATTCAGCATGTTGTTCTTTATTTTATTTTTGTTTTAAATTGCCTTTCAAGATGACATGTCTGTTCTTGGTATTGGATTTTATCCAAAACATTTCCCCCTAAAATGCAACTGATACTCCATTGCCACTTATATATGTGTGTTTTTTTTCTTCCTTATTTTGCATTTTATAGTTGGTGCGCTTTACACTCCGGAGCGATTTATAATCTAGAAAATACGGTAATTTGCGATATTTGTTGAGAAGTTCACTTAAATAATCCCTTAAATGTTGTGCATTCGAAACGTTCATTTGTAGCCCTGTCGCCATTGCGTAGTGGATAAACCAAACACAAGTCAGCTGGAAAAAAAATACCCTGCTTTTTGCAATTCCTCTCTCTTTCAGAGTGTTGAAAAGCCCCCCAGTCGTGTATAAGCATCGTTCTCTCGCTGTCAATTTTTTCCAGTCACGGATCCCCTTTGAGTCTGCCAGTGCTTCGATTGCAATCAATCATGGTTTTGCTCAGGCAAACGGCATTCCATCTGGCTTCAGATTGGAGAGTTCGCCACTGGTTTCCCATAGAACAGCCTGAAAAAACTTCAATTTAATTGGACATAAGCCATATAGGTCTTTGTCTTTACGTGCTGACATGATCACACTGTGATACAGTTTGCGTGATCATGGAATCAAACCTAAAACTAAAGTTGTCTCCTGCCATGCATTTCTGATGACATAATGTTTATGTCATCTTGTTAGAATCTCTTTTTAGAATTAAATATCTTGGTCTCTCTGTGTATGGCTCCAAAATGTCTGGACCAACTCTGGGGTTTTTGGAGTCTCATCTTCCTATTCCTATTATCCACCAAACACACCCATTCTTTCATCAGCAGGCACAGGAACCAGACAAAGCAGCCTGAAGGATCACCGGGAGTATCCCGAAATAGCTCTTAAAAAGCATGCAGTCTAACTTGTATTTTTCTTTGCCAGCTCTAAACAGAGGTTCTGTGGTTTTGGCCAACTTCCCATCTCCCATCCAGCCGTCCTTCATCTTGTCATATTCATAAATCATTATCTGTCTCAGTGGGTGGAGTCACTGATTGCGTTTTACAAAGCCGCTGTGCAATTTGACTAAGTAGTACTTTCACAGAGGATACTCATGATAAGCAATTTGGCTTGTTTAAAAAAAAAAAAAAAAAAAACATCCCGAGTCTCCAGACTATTCCAAAGCTTACCCAGCTATTGGTTATCTTCAGACAAGCACAGGACCCACAGGCAGACACTCAGTCCTGGTTTATTATCAGGGCAGAGGGACAGGTAAAGGAGGCAGGATCCAAAGGCAGTCAGAGAAACCAAAACCTAAGTAGACAGGAAGGCTGAGCGCAACAGTTGGGCAGCAGAGAGTATGGCAGGGAAGGTTGCTGAGGAACTGGCAACAGGGTGGCTCTTCAGACTGACAAGTGTGTAGCTGACGAGTTGAAGACTGGCAGGTGTGTGGGTGGGACAGGTGCAGTGATTGGGGAGACGCCCAGCCCACACCGAATTAAGCGAAAGGCAACCAAAAACTACAGGAGGGAGGGGCCACACCGTGGAACAATGGCAGACACAATGCAGGTCTCTAAAAGCTGATGTATATAACTGTCATATCGGTTTTACATGATAACCACTGTATCGCGACGTACCCCATCAAATATTCGGTGTATTTTATTTCTATCACTGGAAATCTGTATTTTCACAAGCCTAGTAAAGATTTGGTGCTTCGTCTCATGTCAGATTTAGAAAATTCAAGTTAAAGGCAGCTTCTGGGAGTTGACTTACAGCCACTTTTCAATTTTCACTGGTACGAATTGACATTTACAGTGACTTGACGCTCAACATAAGAAGCAAGAGAAGGTCTTTCAAAATTTGTTTTGGCTCAGGTGTTGAGAAGAAGGCTCACACGTACTGTAAAAGTTTCGCGCTCTCGAGAGCCAAACACACGTCATCATTTCTATCCGCAGGCATCTGTCTTGCTATTACTCAATATCCACACAAAATTGACAGTCGTGGGACCGTGCCCTACATTTTAGGTCTTGCCCATAGCTTTACTCATTCGTTTTGTTTCTAATCTACACGTTGCAGATTAGCTATTCACCAGTGCTACTTTTTTGTTCAAGTACTTATCCAGTACAGGTAAAAGCTTTTTATGGTTTTTATGATCAGATCTTGACGTCCTTCCACCTGTGAATTCAAAGCCCGGTTAAGAATAGACTTGTCATAATTGTCTGTCAACAACGACAAACACATCTTCTGTCTTCCGTCGCCAAGGAAGCCCCAAATTACTTAATGGTTATTTGGAGGGTGGGGGGGCAGCTTTCAGGGACAGTGGCCACTACAGTGGACAGCTTATGCTATCAGGTTACCGGGTGCATGAAAGGGTTAAATAAGAAGTGCGCGTAAGTCCACAGGTTGAAATTTCTGGGGGGGCACAGAGGAACTGTGCCATTGACAATTATTTCCACGTTGATATTTTTGCAGCCAGTATACACTTCATTTAAAACATATGGAGTGTTTATGAGCCCATAGTTAGCCATGGCCGTAAATCTGTATCGTATCAAAGCATGTTTCCCATCCCTCGAGTCGTACGCCCGACGCATAGCTACCATTTGAGCTTGCAGCCCTCGAAAACCTTGATTATGAAAACATTGTCTCCAGATGCATCTTCCCAGAAATCACTGAAGAAAATGATCTCAGCATGCAGTCATCTCATGACAAACACCCGCCCACTATAATTTAAGGAATAAATCTTACTTGGAAACAGTATTTTTTTTTCCTTTCTTCATTTGTCATTCGATAAAAAAAAAAAAAAAAAAAGAATTGTGAGCGTCTGCTAGTTTGGGGAGGCATGCAGGTTTATCTTGCGATCAATGTCACCTTTCAGAAGGGCTGAATGCAAGGTAGGCCAAGGGAAGCGCCCACAAAGAGCTCTTTGAGGAATAGAGCTGACACCATCCTGCCGCCGCACCCCATCCTTTTAAATAGCAGCCACTCATACATTTTTGCTTTTCGGCCGAGTTGAAGGAGAAGCTTGTTTGTTTTCGCCCGGGATTGGTTTCATTGTTTGAGGCCCAGTCAGCGTAGCCTGATTTGTAAAATGTTACCATAAGTGATGGGGGAGGTCAGATTGTGTTTTTATTTCTCGGTGGGGAAAATTATGTGTAAGACAGTCAAGAAATTAGATCGTGTTGATCCAAACAGATCGTACTACGACACATCATTCATCGCAGTGAAAGACAAACATACATCGACCTCAACTTTCAATATGTTGCCCCTGCCCCCCACCCCACCCCCTTCCAGTATTCCTCCACCCAGCAAAACATTCCTCATGTGTGCAACTTTCATGTGTACACACGTATGTACCGTGTATATACTCCCCCCCCAAGGTAAACTGAACTACAGTTGCACTCATGGAGCTCATCCGTCGACATCCAAACACTCGTTGCAAGCGTTCAGAGTTCGGAAGCAAGCGTGATGGTTTCTGCATGTGACATGTTCCGAGAAGCTCAGCTTCAAGGAGTCAGAAGGCTAAGTGGGATTGTGAGAAAGCAGAGGACAGCTGTCTGCTGTCGTGAGTCATCCATTCTAGTCATTCAGCATTTTTGCTGCAGAAGGCATGTTATGTTACGGGGGTAATGCCTAATTTACAGTCAACAGAAATAGGACTGCATCCAACAATTATTTTAATCATAGACTAAGCCCGTCGATGATTTCGATGATTATATTTCCAAAAATATGTTTTCATTTCCTTCCCTTTATTCAAAAGTTTGGCATTATTTCAAATTGGCAATGCAGAAAATGCACAAGCAGTAAGTATGATCCCCTTAAGTTGTGGTTTGGTCCGAAATGTGTCAGAAAATAGGCCAAAAATGTTGACTCAACACACCCAATAGGTTCACTTTCATGGAGGATGACATAAAGCAGATATTTACAATTGAGATGCTGAAATTCAAAGTATTTCAACATTTAAAATTCAGGGGCCTGGACGATTCAAAACATATCAAAATAAATCGATTAATTTGGTAATCAATTAGTTCTCGATTGAATCTATTAAAAATAATAGTCTGAATAATCAATGAAAATCTCTCAGATTTTTTATTAGATTTTTAACAATAAATTAAAAAGGCAATTTGCTGCGTTGCAAAATCCATTCACACAGGACATTTTTTTTCTTTGTCCGATTTTTGTTTCAGAAATGAAGACGAATGTCAATGTTCAAAAAGGCAAACCTTCAAGGAACAGAACTCGCAGCGAGTTCTGCTCACCGGTTTTAGAATTCTGCTGTGCAAAATACAAAAATAGATTGTTGAACCACAAACAACTCAACTCACTTCAGTCGCCCAAATGAATTCTGTCAAAAAACAGTAACAGTTGATTTTTTTTTTTTTTCTAAACACAATAAATCATGTTCAAATTTTCAAATGTTAACACATCGGACGCACAAAAGACAACCTGCACACTAGCCTGATACAGCCAACAGTCAAAAGGACAACAATGGTAAAATCCTGATGAGGTCATGAAATACCTCATGAAAGCACCGCCATTTGTTTTACGAACTGAAAATGAGCGTCTGAAATCGGTGTACCCTGCGAGCTCTTTTGTGTACATCAGGGAAGAATTTGCCGTGACCCTTTTTCCCCAGTCAACGTTCTGTCTGACAGAAATTGGTTGAACGCAATCGCTCATCTTTTTAAAGCAAAATAGCTTTAAAAATGCAAATCTACAAAACGGGGCCACAAAAATGCACAAAGACGAGAAGGGAAGAGCAAACGTTTCAATTACAGTGAAATCAGACAGTTTTTTAGGGGTTTTTTTTTGGTTGTTGTTTTTTTAGGGGTCGATGAAGGAGACAGCAATGTAGCGCGTGCCATTGGTGGTGGGTAGACCTTCGTGGAGATGAGTCAGTCGTCCTGGGTGCATGAAACTCCAGCCTTTCCGAGGTGATTCTATGGAGCAGTTATATCGATGGAAACGACAGCCGCCACCCTAAGAAGAAGCAACGTGGGGTCAGTGATTCCTGCTGCGGAACATGATTTGACCACAAATAATGTATCTTCGTTCATCGATCTAGCGGCACTTTCTCTAACTTTCTTGTTTGATGTGCCCAAGATTATTCACATTTAAAACAAAGTCTTGGAAATCTGACTTGAGAAAAAAAAAGTCTCAGCAGCTAGTCAGCTATGTGACACCTGGTCTTACCTGAAAGTCTGTGTCTTTGTTATTGAGGGCAATGTTGATAGTGAAGGTGGAGGAGTCATGGTGGGGCCTCAGGTACGATTGCCTCTCAGGAGTATATTTGACGACAAAGTTCATGAGCGCGTAACCCTGCAACGGAATGGAAAATACATCAAATTGGTTGTCACCACTGTTTTCACATATTGACCCTTTCATGCTCTCTGTAACCTGATAACACGATAAGCTGTCCACGGTTGTAACGGCTGTGCCTGAAAGGGTTAAAGTGTCATGTAGTGTGCATGTAAAGGCAGGCATTTTTTTTTTCTTTTTGGATTGATGACTTGTTTCTGCTCCTGGAGCTGTTGGGTGTTGAGATATGAGTTCCGGGACCGGTGTCCTAAAAGATTTCAAAACTACACTACGAGTTTTCCTCTTCAATGTGGGCCAGCAGTAAAGGCTGGGAAAGAGGTGTTCAGCTCCAAAGTGGAATATTTGGAGTTTGGGTTGTAAATATAGCTTTTCTAACACCAGTCTTGGCACACATTGTAGTTTTCCCTCGGGACATTACGGACCTTTGTATAGTATCCGGAGAAAACTTTGAGTGTGACAGGTGCGATGAACTCTCGGATAAAGTGAAGCCACTCTTTGTCAAAGCCGATTTGCTTCATGTGGATGTCGTCCGTTGGGACTGTCTCATAGCCACCAGCAATCCTCTTGTCCTGTTGAAAAAAACAAAACAAAACAAAACAAAGTACAGTTTTTTTTTTCCGCACGATAAAGCGCTTCCAAGTGTAAGGCGCACCTTCAATGAATGGCCTATTTTAAAACTTTTCATATAGAGGGTGCACCACATAGAATAGAAGCTACAATACTGGCCGCGGTTGTGTTATGCATCCACTAGATGGCGTTACACTAAAGTCAATACAATACAATACAGCTTTATTTTTATAGAGCTTTCACAACCGCTGCAGCTGTAACAAAGCACTTGACAGAACATTTAAAATACAACGTCCAAGAAATCAAAATATTGATCCATATATTTGGCGCATCGGATTATAAGGCACACTGTCAGCTTTTGGGAAAATCGTATGCTTATAGGTGTACCTTATAGTGCGGAAAATACGGTACATGAATATGCTAATTATAAAACGTCCTCAAGTGAAATGGACAGATTCTGCTTCGTTTAATGCTACTTTTGTCTTCAAATGTGCCGGGTTGCGAACACATTCTGAAATTGACCATTTTCCTATGAGGGTTGTGGTGCTGGAAAGACCCCATCTGATCGGTTCACTGCTTTTTATTGCAATTCTTGCGACATAACACTCTAGAGCTCCCAGTCGTGGGGTTTTAAATGTCTTAACAACATGATAGATGTAATCAAGGCAACATCATCGCCCCTTTTATGCATTGTGGCCAATCATATTAACGGTCCACTTTGTTTTCACATCTGGTCAATATAAAACTAAACCGCCGCCGGCAAAAAGAGGTGCCTTCAAATTCATGTCTCGGAGAACACCCTCCCCTCCTCTGAAAGAATGTTAACAAGTCATCATGGGGGATGCCTCTAATTCTTTGCTCCCACTTCTCATTGTTGTTTGTTTACTCGAGCAGGCACCATTTCTTTGCAGTGAAGCAAGAGCATTGTTTATTTTTATTTCAAATGAAATACTGTGGGTTACGGGAGGGACGGGGGGGTTGAATCTGGCAGCATGCACTGCATTAGCCATTAGGAAGCTTTATTGAAAAGTCCTGGTAGCTTTTTCACTAAAATGTCTCCCAAGGTCCGTGTTCAAGGTCATGTAGTTTTCCATGATGTTTTAAAGGTTATTCTTCGGCCAGAGCCTTTGGACTGTTTTGACAATATAAAGATTGTTTTAGGCTGTTCCTTAGCTCATGCGACGCCCCTTCCACCAAATGCGATAAAAAACAAAATAGCCAGAGGTCAATAATGAGTTTGCCTTATTTTGCATGCTGCTAGCAAATGCGCGAATGAAGAAAAGGCTAGCGTCGGTATGTGCTGACTTTGTTTTGGGCACTGTGTTCACTGATGCGACATTGACACGGGACTGACCTCATGTTTGCCACCGGACCACGAACCATGGTTCTCCATCTCCTCCACAATTTCATCACAGGCCTTTTCCGTGAAGACCGGAAACCAGAACACATCTGGACAAGGCTGCGGGCCAAAAACACACACACTTATTTTGAAGTCCCACCTTCGCCGTGAGTAGACCGTTCCCGCAATCTTGAGTTATTTAGATTAAAAACAGATGGTGGAATCCACGTACTGTCTGGCATTCAGTCATACTGTACTCTTATCTGTAAAAAAAATACACACAAACCTCTTCCAAGTAGTTCTCTGTGAAGATTTTCATGTAGTTGGGATGGATGTACTTCTCCTTCCAGTCCTGCAAAGACCATTCGGTATTAGAGGCCTTTTGTTGGACTATTTGATGACCCGAATACCAGGCAGCACTAATCCTCTCCCGCAACTAGCAATCTCCCATGGCGCCACACGGCACATTCGGAGTCGCGTCTCATGACTTGAGTCTTTTAATTAGGGCTACCAAGCTCCTCAGGTGGTTACTCGCCTTTCTGCAAATCAAAGGTAACGGCAGTAGCTACTTACCAGGGGATTTTCGAATATCTGCCACAAGTCACTGTTATAGTGAGAAGTGTTATAATTGGCTGCGGAAAGGAGCCTCCCAAATTCATCGCGGTTTGTTAAGTACATGAAGACTCCCTGCAGCAGATAGGAAAAGCCGTAGTTACGCACAAGGCATAAAACGTACACTTCAAAATGTCTGACAGGAGGCTTTAGATATACATTATTGGTGCAATGTAATTATTGGTTAGCACTCTGATAGCAAATTGTAAATGTTTTTTTTTTGTTTGTCTGATTTAGGTAGAGCAGAAACAGAAGCCAGATAAATAATCAAAGATTATTTATGGGTGGGATAAGAGTGGCTCAGGAGGGGGGTGGGGGGCGTTCACGTGGGTGTTGGTGGGACGGGAACAATTCAGGGTGGGGGGTTGGTGAAGTGAAAGGAAGGGCAGGAGAACAGGGACAGAAGGGGTGCAATTCTAGGAGCAATATTGTCTTCTATAGGGAGGCAGGTTTTGGACACAAAATCAGACTAGGCTTCGTAATGATCAAGTTCACAAAATGTCACAAAAGTTTGCAAAATGTCCGTCATAAAAGTCTGTGTTGTTTGCGGAGGTGGATGACAACGTATGGAAAGAGCCTAGTCTGATATTGGTCGTCGTTTTCTAGATCAAGCAGCTGGTTTTACGGTCAAGCATCAGGACAGGGTTCTTGAAATGTACGGTATGATGGTCTTTAACATTCTTTTTCCTCCTTGCTTCTTGGGACAAGCAGATCTGCTTAAGCCTCAGATCAAATTTAACAGCTGTTTGGCTCAACATCAACTCAACCAGGACACATTGATGTTCTTGAAGAACTAACACAGAATAAATGTGTACTTATGAAATACTTGAGCATCCACCCAAACATTGTCACAAGCTCAAGCTTGGACTGGCTTCTGAGTGCTAACCCGTTGGATATTGACGTTTCAGATAATAGCAGTAATCAAAACAAAAGGAAACCTTTGGGGGCCTGAGCATATGGAATGATTCCGGAGAAGGGGACTCTTTTTCTCTCTGACTGGTCTAAAACGAAGGAGAAGCATCATGTAAATAGGATACCACATGGCTTAATTATTTCAAATAAAGACAACAGGGTAACAGAGCAACATAAGGGGCGGTGAGGAAATGTGCCCGCGTTGGAAAAAATAAGCAAGATTCCCTCTGAAGCAGATGTTTAGTTAGTCGGCGGAATGCATGCAGGACCGCAAAAGGCACCAAGTTGAAATTAGACCTGATAGCTAGTGCAGCGCTCAAGGCGGCATGTCAACAGCTTGATGCAATGACAATAAACAGTTTTGGTTTAAAAAGTGTAAAGGGGATAACTTGGATCAGGTCATCGTCAGCCAGTGGTTACACACAACAGGATCAGGAAAGAGTGAAAAGCGGGGACTGGCCGGATACGACAACATATAAAGCTGACCATTGCACGAACGCGGTATCGCCATGCCGTCACAACACACAAGAGGCATTTCAAACGTATACTTGCCATTGGTCACCTTCCATTGCGCTGTTGACTTTTATAGGGTTATGATCCACAGCATTTCTATCATGTCTTTGTCTCAAATGTCTTTGGAGAAGCATAATAGATCGAAATCAAAAGCCGTCCTTACCAGCTCTCGGGTGTGTTTACACAAAGCCATATCAGGGTCCAGTTTCTCAAGAACAAAGTAGTTCCTTTCTTTCAACTCCTTCCTCAAAACAGCCCCCTGGATCAGGTAGATATGCGCCATGTAAGGAATGTTCCACACCCCCCTGGAAACAAAGCAACGGCGTGAAATGAGGCAGTTCTTTTGCACGATTGCCACTCAAATGTGCGTCGTGGACACTTATGCGGAGATTTGATAGTCAGCTCCACAAGCCGCTTGTCTGAAGGTGTGTGGTATGGCGGCCTCATGACTGAATGTCGTTTTCATTTGCATTTCTGAGCCCTAACTGCCCTTTGACCTGCGTGGAAGATCTATTTTAGTGTTGTGTTTTGTGTGTGTGTGACACATACAACCAAGTGTTTTTGGCCAGTACAACGTGGTAGATTTGGCGGTCATCAGTCAGGATGGAGTTTAGTCATTGTGTGCCATCCGCTACGTACTGTATTGACTTGTTTCGATAAATTCTAGTTAGCATTTGGGTGGCCCGGTGATCGACTGGTTAACACGTCGGCCTCACAGTGCAGAGGTGCAGGGTTGGATTCCTGCTTCCAATGTGGAGTTTGCATTTTCTCCTCCGTGTCCGCGTGGGTTTTGTCCGGGTACTCCGGTTTCCTCCCACATTCCAAAAATGTGCATGGCGGGTTAATGGATCACTCTAAATTTTACATAGGTTTGATTGTGAGTGTGGATAGTTGTTTGCCTATGTGTGCCCTGCGATTGGCTGGCAAACCTTGTGAGGATAAGCGGAGCAGAAAATGGATGGATGGATGGTTAGCGGTTGATGATGCGGGATCTATGCAGGTGTGAAAGCTCCTTGTACTTACATTCGTTTCCTCTGCACAATATCCACATAATCTTCCGAGCGGGCGTAATAACCGTCCAGACTCAGCGCTCCCCAGAAGTTGGACCACAGCTTGTTGTGGCGAGTCACAAGTGGGCCGATGATTTTCCTGCGTCGGGGCAAAATGACAGAGTGGTCACAGGACAGAATAATTTTAATCCGATATCATCACCCAAGTACCCAACCCTATTTTACCATCTCACTCCGATGTTTAGTCTCAAAGCTAACTACACACTTTTTAATTAAAGCACAAGGAATAAATCTGTTAATAATTGAAATATAAATCAAAGTGTTCGTCAAGACGGCACTCCGCTTATGACAGATTATTTTTTTTCTTTTCATTTGGAAACTTCACGGTCAGCAGAGAATCCTCCATCCTCCCTTGAAATAACCCTGGAAGACCATTGTATGCGACGTTAAGCTACAGCCAGAGCGACTAGATGTCGTTTGTGGGATGCTTTCTTTGCATTTTATGAGCTGCAGAAAAGAGACAGGAGTTTGCATGTTTGGTATTTTGCGTAATGCAAAGTGGCACGTCGGGGTTAGCGCAGTGAGGCGCTTTCGCCGTTTCCATGTGGTCAGCAAAAAAACAAACGAAAAAAAAAACAGGAAACCGGCGCCGATTATTTTTAAACTCTTGCCGCTTTGCTGCAACGCGCCTGCGGTTTTACCACGCTGAGAATAAATTCAACAGTCCCGTGAACTTCACAGCAGCACGGGAGGTTTTTGTTTTTTTTTGTTTTCCAGTGAGCACCGCATTACCTGTTCTGCTCAATGAGGAGCTTCAGAGTCTGTGCGTTGGTAAGCATCACGTCTGAGTCGATGCTGAAGTAGAAGTCGCATGTGGCATCTTGGCGGCAAAGATCCCTAAAGACACCAAGGTGAAGAAATCGTTTTTAAAATCCAGGGCTAAAAAAAATGCAAATTGACAAGCAATTAAAGAGCCACGTGAAAATGTTTCAAATCCATTTTCAGTGTTGGATCTTTGCTGGTAATCTCCAATGATCTAATGCACAGGTGTCAAACTCAAGGCCCCGGGGCCAGATCTGGCCCACCGCATCCTTTTATGTGGCCAGCGAAAGCAAATGAAACATGTCAACGTCTTGCTAAAATTTGGACCAACATTTCAACTTCTCAAATGTAATAAATAAGAGAGATATTGTAATCATTTTCTTGTTACCAAACCCCTCATTACAGTAACTTAAACAATCGTTGAATCATCCATTTTTCTTGACTTCTTTAAATGCTTTCACGGTCATTCGGCCCTCCAAGGAAAACGGTCACTTCAATGTGGCCCACAACAAAAAGGAGTTTGACACCCCTGATCTAATGGATCATTTGATTTTTAGAAGATGAGAGAAGGCTTGTTTCTAAAAATGGCTGTACGCAGGTGTCAAACTTGGGTCCTGGAGGGCCCGCTATCCGGCATGTTTTCCGTCTTTCCCTGGTGCAACACACCGGATTCAAATGATCAGGATGGTGATCAGGCTCCTGTAGAGCTGGCCGATGAGCTGACCATCAGAACCCGAGTTTGACACTTACGCCGTAAATGCACGCTCCCGTCTAACCGGATGGAGCTGCAGAGGCGATACGAAGGGTCATGGCTCAAACTACCCTAACAGAGAATCTTGCGGCATCATTTTCAAAGACTTAATTTCCATCAACAAAAGTGTTGAACAAAGGCTTTGACTATTTAACTCATTCAGTACCAGCCAATTCTGGACCAAGTCTGAAAAGACGTTTAAAAACGTCTTTGGGAGTGAATGAGTTAAGTGCTTGTGATTTCCTGTTATTTTTTTTTTTTTACTTTGCAATAAGGCTGTGGTAAAATATGGAAAAGCAAGTGTTTAAAATCGTACGTACATGGCCATGTTTCTGGCTTCGCCTTGGCTGAGATTTTCTTCCGGTCCAACAACTTTTAAGGTGCCGAAGACGTTCCGATGTTCCTCCCAGAATTTCTGCATGTGCCTCTCATGGTAAACCTCCTGACGATCGGGCAGGCATTGATAGATTAGAAGGCCGTGCGCAGGAATAACGTCGGTTGCAAGTACTCACGTTATTGTGGACAAAAACATGAAGTTTATCTTTGGGATAATCCAATGTCATCAACCGTTGGAAGAACTCAGGCAGAAACGGCGTCGGGTGCTCGATGAAAACTCCGAGGAGCACTTTGGGGTACTCCTGTCGAAATGTGACAGAAACAAAAGTGCAGAAATTTCAAACATCAAGTCCGGCAAACGGAACACTATTTGGCATAAATCACGGAATCGTTTGACAGCTCACATTAGCTTTGTTGATACTTTGAAGCTGTGCCGAATGGCATTCTCGTCAGCGGAGCTTTTTGGTTGACTTGAATGTCGCTTTGCTGACATGATGGAGCCCACGCTGGGTGTACTTTGCAGTCATCTGCCTTACATATGGCGTATGCTATCAACGATTGCTTGTCAGGAAAAACTTTATTCTGACTCGTTCACCAATTGGGAGAATCTATGTCGTAGTTTGATAAAACTGAGCAATGTTCCAGGACCGACATGATACCGTGTCAGTGCCTCACAGGCAATACATCCATTCGGAAATTAAATTTTTCACACCAAGCAACAGAATCATCCGTGACATCTATGAAAACTTCCTCTTGAGATTTCTGCATGTGAGGGCTTGACAAGAACTTCTGTCCCGCATCGCCACGTATAACATGATAGTCAGGGAAGAGTCTGTAAACACTCGTGAAGGGGAAAAAAAAAGCCAAATTAAAGGGGAAACATTTTCCCAAGCAACTCTGCCACGAAAGTTCATCCAGGACTGCAACTCCCTGTGACCAGTTCACAGCATGGCTCTGGGACTGCGATGAAAAGGGATGCAAGCCGAGGCATCTAATTTGAAGGTTTGCAACGTCTGGTTTTAAGGCGCACGATGGAAGTCTTAAGAATTCTGCCAGTGTGCAGGGAGGGGACCAAAAAAAAAAAAAACTTTCCCTAGAGCAGACGAGTATCCACGCAGTGTTTTTACACAAAATAAAGCATCGGGATGTGGTGGCCTAGCTTGTTATTGTCTTTGGCAATGAAATTCAAATTGTGTATACCAGTTTCTAAGCAAAAGCACACAAAGAATCAAGCAGAACTTCCTTCTGAACTCAATTTCTCCGGGATACTGTCACCCCCAGTATTTCCATGACATGATGCCCTCACTTTTTCCACATGAGACAGTGTAAGACACCACCAGTTATTTGTAAAAAAAATAAATAATAACAACGTCGTTAGGCCTCATTCATTGTCGAAATATTACAATTCTGCGCACAATTTCGGTCCATATGCAAAATCGCCATCGGGTTAATTCGTCAATTAGAAATCATTGCACCGTATTTTCCGCACTACAAGGCGCACCTAAAAGCGTTCAGTTTTCTCAAAAGACGACAATGCGCCTTATGTGTTTGTTTTAAATCATGTATGCTTGGCTTTAAAGTGTACATTTTATCCCGCGTTTTAAACTCTTGTAAAGTGTCTTTGAGTACAATGAATTTTTTTCAAAATAAAATGTATTATTTCTATTATTATGATAATCCGATGCGCCTTTATTTATGGATCAATATTCTGATTCCTTGGACGTAGTATTTTAAATGTTCTGTAAAGTGCTTTGTTACAGCTGCAGAGGTTGCGACACTCTGTTTAATAAATCTGTATTGTATTGTATTGTATTCCCTTTAGCATAGCTCCATCTGGTGGATGCATAAAGCAACCGCAGTCACTATTGTAGCTTCTATTTTGTGCGCCTTATAAGGCAGTGTGCCATATCTATAAAAAAACAATATTAACATAGGCCATTTCATTGAAGGTGCACCTGATACTCCGAAGCGCCTTATCGTGCACAAATACAGTAATTGACAGGGTCTTTCTTTCAATTTGCAATCTGGATAAACCACGCCCATATGTTCCTCCGTTCGATACATCGTTAGGCCTCATTTATTGTCGAAATATTACAATTCTGCGCACAATTTCGGTCCATATGCAAAATCGCCATCGGGTTAATTCGTCAATTAGAAATGATTGTACCGTATTTTCCGCACTACAAGGCGCACCTAAAAGCGTTCAGTTTTCTCAAAAGACGACAATGCGCCTTATGTGTTTGTTTTAAATCATGTATGCTTGGCTTTAAAGTGTACATTTTATCCCGCGTTTTAAACTCTTGTAAAGTGTCTTTGAGTACAATGGATTTTTTTCAAAATAAAATGTATTATTTCTATTATTATGATAATCCGATGCGCCTTTATTTATGGATCAATATTCTGATTCCTTGGACGTAGTATTTTAAATGTTCTGTAAAGTGCTTTGTTACAGCTGCAGAGGTTGCGACACTCTGTTTAATAAATCTGTATTGTATTGTATTCCCTTTAGCATAGCTCCATCTGGTGGATGCATAAAGCAACCGCAGTCACTATTGTAGCTTCTATTTTGTGCGCCTTATAAGGCAGTGTGCCATATCTATAAAAAAACAATATTAACATAGGCCATTCAGTGAATTTGCGAGTGAAGGCCCCATAAAATTAAAAGAACACATTTCACAAGGGCAACAATTTAGGTGATGGCGTTAGAGGTGGAGGCAAAGGCAACTTTAAAAAAATATATATATATTTTAACGTTTGCGCTTGAGCATCAACGCAAAAAAAAAAACAAAAGATACCTGGGCCTCGATTAGAGAGGCACCACACAGTGACTTAGCGGAAGACAACGTGGTTTGGTAATAACCCTTTCGTGCGCCCGGTAACCTGATAACATGATAAACTGTCCACTGTAGTAACCGCCGTCCCCAAAAAGGGTTAAATGGGATACAAAGAAAATAAAGCCGCTCTGCCCCCCAAACTCTGGAACTCCCTTCCCCCCAATATTCGTAAAATTGACTCTCTTCCCACATTCAAAACCCATTATTATTATTATTATTATTATTATTATAAAATAAAAAAGGACATCGGAGGACAAGGATCACCTGATTTCACGCCACAGCAAATACAGTAATTGACAGGGTCGTTCTTTCAATTTGCAATCTGCATAAACCACGCCCATATGTTCCTCCGTTCGATACATCACAGTTAACTTGGCGAGAGGGCTTGTATTTGCGAGTGAAGGCCCCATAAAATTAAAAGAACACATTTCACAAGGGCAACAATTTAGGTGATGGCGTTAGAGGTGGAGGCAAAGGCAACTTTAAAAAAATATATATATATTTTAACGTTTGCGCTTGAGCATCAACGCAAAAAAAAAAACAAAAGATACCTGGGCCTCGATTAGAGAGGCACCACACAGTGACTTAGCGGAAGACAACGTGGTTTGGTAATAACCCTTTCGTGCGCCCGGTAACCTGATAACATGATAAACTGTCCACTGTAGTAACCGCCGTCCCTGAAAGGGTGATGTGTCATCGAGGTTGCATCAACGACATCTAATAGCTGAGCTGAAGTGGCGAGTTTGATTCAATATCAAAATTGTTAACCGATTGCTGTTTTCCGTGGCAGAGCCGCGAACAGGATTTCACATTGCATTCAAAATGCTTGACGTGGATGGCAACGAGCAAGTGGATAAAAAGGAGTTCATGAAGGTAAAACTAAATGACAGTCGTACTACATCACATAAGTTGTTTTTTTTTTTTTTTTTTAACTCAGTTCTCACAAATGGATGGCTGGCTGAATTGTTTTTGTGAGCTCAAATGTCACACTGTATGCGTTTGTAATGCTGCCTGATGGTCCGCACTTCATGCTGCCACAGTTGGAAGGTAAATCCGAGACAGAATATGGATTGATCACAGATTTTTGCGTGTGGTGTCCGTATGCACGTTTTAGGGACAAATTTTTGTGTATGCGGTGTCGATGTATGACGCCGAATTCGAGCTACTTGAACAGAGCTGCTTTTTCTCATGCAGCTGTCTTGAATCTGCGTCAACCATTTAAGGAGATTCATTTTCATGAGCGCAGAGCCTCGCAGGGCTTTTATATATAAATATTGTAAATCACCGTTGAGCACATTTCTGAAGTACCAGGAACACCTCTATTAGTATACAAAAAAAAAATGCTTCCAAATGTGGTTATCACCAAGTACACACCACCACATAACCTGAGACGTTTCCAAATTCCTGCCGTTCTGGTCCAAGTATACGGTTTGACTGAACTCTGCGACATATTTTCCACATGACCGCTATAACTGGAGATTGCGGACAGAACCTATACTGAGAAGCCCACAAAAAGGGAAGGCCGGTCAGCAGTGACACCCCTTTTAAATGAGTCTTTCAGAAAACCGCAGAAGCCATATCCTGCACCACAGCGGTGCCGGGCTTTCTCTCGCCCGAGTAGTTTCCCTTGCACGAGGTACGTAACCTATTATTTTAGCAAAGGGCCATGGGCAACAGTTGGGCTTATCTCTTGAAAGTGGACAGTCGGCGCCCTACTCCAACTGTCTAGACAGCCCCCCGACAGAGGGCAGGCAGTGTTTCATCCTTTCCTACAGGAATACGAGGGGGCGAGGTATGTTGAAGATGAATTTTCCACAAGCCCAATATAACGCGAGATCAAACGAAAGGGGGAGAAAAAAATGGGACCTACTTTCAACAGAGACATATCCACGACATCGTCGTCACAGTGGCTGCAGCCGTGTTCGTAGTTCCATGCGTTGGGCACGTAGTTGGCCAAGTAGTTCAAGTACATCTGCGTGGGACAGCATTCAGAGCTGGTTACGGATGATTAATGGCAACATAAGCAACATTTCAAGCGTTTTTCCTGGTTTGGTAGGTTTATTTTTGTATGGCCGTGCCTTGCTAACACCCTGTAGAGATAATTTGTGACAAAAGGTGCTCAGCACACAATTCTCAGCTGCAACATTTTGGACTCGGAGGGGCTCGGCTTTGGCCGTCGTGCTCGGATTGGTGTTATGTTATCGACCGTTGTGAGTTTATTCTGCAGATGTTGAAACGTCTGGGTAGAATGACTCAACAGTTTTGGTTAGGTCACACACAGGGAGTCAAGTGAAAAGGCCAGAGAATGATCCGTAAACTGTTATTCCAACCAACGGAGGAAAGACAGAAGCATGATGGCCTAGTTTGGGCGAGCGCTCTTCCCCCCACAGAATAAAAGTGTGAGTCATAAATAGAAAGGAGCAGTGCGTATATTTCTTCCGTAAGTGGGAAACTCATTAGAAATGTTTATGCCCGAGTGTCACCAAACTCATCCGACACCTTCATCCTTCAAAGACCGACAGGCTCAACATAAAAGCGCCGTCTTTGATGAGATTCCTCAACCTACCGCGCGCATTTCGAAGCAAGACTCGAGGTGAACCGGTACGTCCAAGAGACTCATTTGTGACTCACTTTAGTATTCCCGTTGCCATGGACGACCACCGGCAGGGAGTCGTACGCTGTGTTTCTCACTCTCACACGGTTGGTTCCAAATTTGAGAAGCACTTCGTCTGCCAAAAGTGTGAACACGAGATACTGTAGATCAGAGCAGGTTATGGACATTTACAGAACGCATGGTTGAAAACAGCAATGTTTTAATCAGCCAAACTTCCAACTTGGGTTTCCAATATACAGTCTTTCAGAAGCTAGAGTTGGTACAGTGATACCTCTACTTATGAAATTAATTGTTTCTGGAAGAATTGATACCTCTACTTATGCAATTCATTGGTTCTGGAACACATTTCTTAACTAGAAAATTTAGTAAGTAGAAACGCGTTTTCCATGTAAATGCCCTAAAACACGTTTTCCATGTAAATGCCCGAATTCGTTCCAAGCCCCCCAAAATTCAGACATAAATGTTTCCGAAAGCATAACAATGCATCAAAATATGTAAGAAATACATGTTACAATTAGATGATTGTACAATAAATGAGAGTTGTTCATAATTTAAAAAATAAAGAATAAAAATGATGGTCATTTAACTTAGAGAAGAAAAATGATTCATTTAACTTCCAACTGCGTCCTCATCGTTTTTTGCCCTCTTTAGTTCATGTTCTCTCCCAGAAGTGTTTTTGCCTGGCGTTTTGTACAGAACCGATCCAAGGATGTTTACTTTTGTCGGCTTTTAACAATCCTTCGAAAACTATCAGAACGCCTCATGGCCCGGGGGGCGAATGACGAGGACACAGCATAAACACGTTCTATCTACACACAAAGACATATGCGGTCGAGGTCCCTCTTAGCCAATGGGATGCCAGGATGATTCTCGGTAATAGCCAATAACAGAGCAGCTATAAATTTGTTGCATTCTTGAAACTCGGAGCTGCGAGTAGCTGGCCATACTGTATTTTTACCTTTTGTGTCTTGAAATGTCTTTCGTAACAAGAGGCAATATTTTCCTGTTGACACGTTTCGTAACTTGAAAATTTCGTATGAAGAGACGGTCGAAAGTAGAGGTACCGCTCTATTTCAAGCTTGAAAAAACGACACATTAGTGGGGAATGGAATAAAGAAACTCTTTGGGATTTCTCACCAATTGCGCCATTCAGGTTCTGGAAAATGTGGCACTTGTGGTCCAGTGTCATGTTGAGAGAGTCCTAACAGACGGGGTGGGGATAAATGGAGTCTTGTTTGGCTGAGAAAATGTCATTATTTTCATAGCACTATTGGAGTTTTAAACACGTACTCTTTGCAGTGGATCCACAAATATTTTCGTGTAGAAGAGCTGGTCGTCGTCGTTGTCCTGAAGGTTCCATTGTGAAACCATTCGGTTCATGTATGGAGCATAACCAATTATTCCTGCAAGTGATAAACAGTGTGAAACGCATTTTGAGTTTAAAACATAGTGCAAGAGAATTCAAAAGATGCATACATATATATATATATATAAAACTAGCAGCCATTTGGAGTCAGTTATGTCGCCCATGACCATAAACGCCGCCTGTGTGTAATTGTCACCAAAAGTACAGCCTTTCTTATCCCTCGGGAAATCGGAATGTACTTCACCATGTGATTTGAATGTCTGACAGGAGCACAGCGTGCTATTAAAGCACATCCAAATGTATGTTCTCCTGGCCATGGCCACTCCCGCTTTCTTCCCGTCGTATCTCGAGGACACTAACCGCATTGACTGATTGCAGGGTTGACAAACATAGTGCAAGAGAATTCAAAAGATGCACACACACACACACACACACATATATATATATATATATATATATATATATATGTGTGTGTGTGTGTGTGTAAAACTAGCAGCCATTTGGAGTCAGTTACGTCGCCCATGACCATAAACGCCGCCTGTGTGTAATTGTCACCAAAAGTACAGCCTTTCTTATCCCTCGGGAAATCGGAATGTACTTCACCATGTGATTTGAATGTCTGACAGGAGCACAGCGTGCTATTAAAGCACATCCAAATGTATGTTCTCCTGGCCATGGCCACTCCCGCTTTCTTCCCGTCGTATCTCGAGGACACTAACCGCATTGACTGATTGCAGGGTTGAGAGAACTGCAAACAGGTTTGACAGTTCATTGCCTAAAAAAATGGGAACGACGTTCAAGAAAAACAGATTTATTTAGTTATTTATTTTCGACGAAATGCTTTTTGGGAGTCTGATCCAAGCGACGGCCAGTGATGCTGGAAAAGGATTTCCTTCTGGGACGCTTCCCACTGTTCGAAAAATAAAACTCGGGTGATGTTATTGTTCGGTGAAAGTAGCGTTAAACCCCACAAGAACCCATTTAAAGCATTATTACTTTTTTTTCTTTTTTTTTTTTTTTTGGAGTGGAATTGCATCTACTCAAACGCAGGCGCACTTCGGCGCACACTGTCAACCTTGATTCTGTCCCAACAAAACTGACCCCACTTGTACTGAGTCAAGAGGCTCAACCGTTCAAATGGTCACTTTGGAAGTAGCACCCGTGACTGCTAGCATACCCGGCAATTTCATACAAACTACCGCGCGCTAGTGAAGCCAAGACAAAGCCACATGTCATGTCGGTGAAAGCGAAAGCTAAAAGTAGTCTGTAATCAAAGGGAAGGCGGCCATGCTCCAGACTGGGAGGTCCACCCCATGTTGATGACCAGGGTAAAAGCAGTAATTGTGTTTCTTGGAGCTGCTAGCGGAATGCAGCAGGAGCATGACACTTGGACTGCACTGTCAATATTTTTTTGCGATATTACTTTCTGCTTTGAGTTACCCAGATCTTTGTATGCAAAATAAATTACCTCTCTTGTAATGTAGTTCCATGCATGTTATGATATGAGAGTCATGTTTCACAGTCAGTCTTTGGCCAAGTTGTGAGTCGCTCCGACTTTTCTGTCACATGAATGGATTTGTCCCCGTTCCAAGAAACAGTAATGACAGTCAAAATATACGTCTGTCTTAAAACAAGCTATAGTAAAGTACTGGATGTTGTGTTTTCATGTTTCAAAAACGTGTGCTAGCATTCCTTTAAAGGGGAAGTTAACGCTCAAATTTTCTTTTTCGTAGTATATTTTATGTGCCTCCACTAGTGTAAACATGGCATTCTCATTCATAATGCATTTGTGGAATCTGGGTTGAAGAATAAAATGCACCTGTTTTTAAAGCCATCTCAGTGGGCGGCCATTTTGTCTCGTCCTGTCGACTGAAAATGATATCACAGTCGCTCAGGTGGGCTCAGGCAACGACTCATCACAGCTCACCTGTTATCTGAAGCTGAGCCATGATTGGTTGTTATCTGAGCCCTGAGCTACTGTGATGTCATCATCAGTCGACAGAAAGTGGCAAAATGGCCGCCCCCTGAGCTAGACAAAAAAAAAAAAAACAAATGGTGGATTTTACTGCGTAACTCATCTTCCACAAAGTAATATGAATCAGAATGCCATGTTTAGACTAGTGGAGGCGCACAGAACATCTTACTCTCAAGAACATTTTGTGATTGACTTCCATTTTAAGCTATTTTAACCACTCGAATGTGGAACTTCTCAGGGAGAGGCAATAGAGTGATGAGCAGTCGACCAAGTATAAATTGTTGACTGTGGTTAATCAGGGTGGAGGTTTATGAAAAGATTCAGGCTGAAGTGGGTGTGAAGTGATTGTAGGCCAGATAACTCGAACTTGATGCTCTATTTGCCTCATCTTGACAACAGGAAGAAGTCACAGCAATTCACCGATTTGGGAATGTTTTGGCACCCACCTCCCGAGTTGAGGTACCGCTTGCCACTGCGGACCGACGGATATTTGTCAGCCAGTCGCTTATCTGGCCAGATCAGGGCCTCGGCAGCAAAAATGACTTTGTGATTGGCTTGTTGGAACTTCCTGAGAATCTCCTGTGGACCTCCGGCGAAGATAAGATCATAGCTAGAATGGGCAGAGGGGGAAGATGAAATATAACAGAAGCTTATTTTCTCCCTTTGAGGTCAGTCCATCATGACTCTTGGCCTTTCAGGTTGATCCAGATCTTTTCTTAAACAAGAGGACATTCTTCGCATCGACGAGCATTCCTTCAATGACCTTTAGTCAAACCGTGTTGATGCTTGCACGGCCTTTCGAATTCCAATGACAGACATGAGAAATGGTGCCTAACTGTTTACACAGGACCACCTGGGAGCGGCAAGTGTTTAAAATGACAACGCTCTCACTCTCACTCACCCCACCTTTAGGCCTGTGAGATGAGAAGTCTACTCTCGCGGATGACGTCTGTATGCTATTGCGGAACCGCATCTGGTCCACACATGTTTATGTAATGACCTTTCCATCATAAATTCAAAACTCCTTGTTCTGTATACAAGGACCTCTAAAACATTTGAAAAAAAAAAAAACGTTAATAACTTTGACACCAACCTCGCTTGATTATTTTAGCTACACTTGCAGCCAAAGATGCTTCAAGAATCGAATGTAAAATATTTTTGGGATCAATTGACAGAAAGGGAATGTGTTTTCGGTTGTGTGATTACTTTTGGACAATATTTCCACCGCATGGTTTTTGTTCATGATTATTGGCTCGCCATTCTGGCTTGTGAGAATTTTGAGCGTGTATTTTATTTATTTATTTATTTTTAACATGGGGAAAAACAAGCCAAAACACACAGGACCCTAATTAAATCGGGAGTATTTTTTTTTCTCCCTCATTGGAGAAGTGCAAATATCTAGAAGATAATTTAACCTTTGTGGCAAAATGGCAGAGTTTTTTTTTGTTTTTTATTTGACATTTTTTAGCTCACTACATAACTGCCAATTAATTGCAACGAGTCCTGGATGAGCACCATTCTCTTGATTGCTCGCTGCAGAAACTTATCCAAAGCAAAAATCTAAATAAGTGCTTTTGACATTTTAGCCCCCCCACCCCCAACCCCACAGAAATGAGGGCCCTTTTATTCCACATGCATTTGAATTGGATTACCGGAATTTCTCTGAGAAGTCAAAATTAATCAATTTTATTGTTCAACCACTAGCTCTTCAAAACAATTTTTTTTCATAGTTTTGTAACAACAAAATAGTTTTAACTTGTATCACAATAATTCAGATTTTACCATTAAAATACATTTGTATGAACCATGACTGAAACATTTGCAAAAATATTTTGGTAATTATTAAGGCTATTAATTTTGGGCGGCTGTGGCATCAACATACACTGGATTTTTTTTCCAAAGTGAGCCCGCTTTTCAACGAAATTATTCCATGACACGTGGCATACGTCATCACCTTCCGCTTAGTTGTCCATATTAGGCTCATAAAGCCGTCATGGTTCCAAACTACATTGACACGGTTTTGTAAACTCGTAAATCTTCGAGCAGGCTGTGCTTACATTATAACACCTTTGCAAGACTCAGAAAGGGATTCAGGAAAATCAGCAGAAACGCCTCCCACGCAAGTAATTGCTACTGTCTGTCGGATGATAGAGACACACTCCGTGTGGGTGTTTAAAATGAAAAAAATGGAGGTGTTATGCTCCTGATACGCAGTCGTCAATGCCACATACCTATCTACAAAGAGGACCACGAGGTCCTCCTGGTCAGCTAGACCTTCCATGGCCTCCTTCAGTAGTCTGACTTTTTGTCCTCCACCGATGGAGCGGCCAACATCACCGCCCTTCCATTGTTCTCCCATTCCCAACACCTGCGACAGAACAGAGACCAGTCGTCAAGTCAAACAGAAGACAGCTAGAGTTTTTGAAATAGGGATACAGTTCCCCCTTTGCTTTATCTCTCTTTAATTAAAGGAGACGTTGAGGGTTTGGAGTGATACTGTGTACAAAAAGTCAACAGCACAATTTTGCTGGCAGTGACTTTAACGATTTCAGGCACAGCGGTTACTCGAGGGGACAGCTATTAAAACGTTTGAATGGAGACGTTGAGGGTTTGGAGTGATACTGTCTACAAAAAGTCTATCAGAATTTTGCGTGACTGTGACTTTAACTATGTCAGGCACAGCGGTTACTTGAGTGGACAGCTATTCAAATGTTGTTTTCTCTTGTATATATCTATATCAGGGGTGCCCAAACTTTTTGGACCGAAGATCTACTTTTCGATCGACTAACCTCCTGGGATCTACCCTTACCGGCACGCGCGCACGCACACACACACGCACGCACGCACACACGCACGCCATGAGAAAAAGCCTGAAACTGAGGCAAGCGATACACTTTTGCTGCCTGTTAACTATCGTAGCTCACACGTACCGTTTTAAAGTGCTTCCCTGGGCCCTCCTAGATTTCTATTCTTTGCCCGTGCCCTCGGTGAATTGTACACGAAGCAAACTGAATAGAATAATGACGATAAAAGATAGAGCGCAACAGCTCTGATCACAAGCTGCAATTGCAGACTGCTGAGCGCTAACAACTTCCGGTGACGTAATCACGCGCCATCGTAAATTCAAGATTTACCTGCTTTATTTTATTTTTTAAATATTTTTTTGTGAAAATGAGACTGATAGGATGATTAGGGTGCAGCGTACATTAACACAAAAAAATATATTACTAACATGTACAAAGACACACAAATGGTTGTTTTGTTTTTTTTCTCCTCGACACTCCTCGGATCTACTTGGGACCTGTCTTAGATCTACCGGTAGATCAGGATGGACGTAATGGGCACCCCTGATCAATACAGTCATACCTCGGTTTTCGAACGTCTCTCTTCTCGACTAAATCGGTTTTTGACCGGAAAATTTGAGATTTTTGCGCCTCGGATTACGACCGAAAATCGGATTTCGACCAACTATGCAAACCTGGATACGCCACTCGACTCCTCTTGGCTTCTTTACACGAGGAAGGGACACTTCCTCGTGTAACGTTGGTTGTGAGCAGACGCGTTTGTGATGATTTACGCAAATCTGACTGGGTTGTTTTTTTTTTGTTGTTATTTGTGCATCGTGTATTAGCCCCTAATCATGGGGGAATAAAATAGTTTCGGATTTCGAACAAATCGGTTTTGGAACATCCTTCTGGAACGGATTATGGTCGAAAACCGAGGTACGACTGTATATCTATTTCTGCTAAAGTGTACAATGATGGACCCTCACTGAGAAGTTTGCTCAATGATTTGCAGTTTGGACGCATTTCATTTTCTTAACCAGGTTATTCAGTTGCCAGCAATGTGCTGTTAAAAATTTGAATGCCGACGTTGCGTTGTGAACTCAAGTGAAGACTCTCGGAACCATCTCTCACCTTCACAGTGTAGTTGAAATAATTTGCAGATTGGATGAAGCGAAGGAAGCCATCGGTTTCTTCTGTGGCCACAGTGAGGACAAGCAATTTTTCTGGGAAAAAGAAAAAGAAAAAAAAAATCAATCAGCTATTATCTGACTCATAAAGTCAGCACACAATATTTCCCAGATTTTGACATATTAGTCTAAGGAGGAAGTTTCCTGATGGTTTTTTCTTTTTTCTGTTTCTGTGAAGCACATCGCCGAAACAGATGACGACAAACTGTTTCTAACGTTTGGTTCAGAGTCTTAAATAATTAACATTTACGGCCCTTTGAACTTGATTCATGTCACTGATGAACATTCACCACAAACTGGATCCACAGAGCTCGGAATCTGTCTGCCTGCACCTGGATGAAATTCACGAGGATCATGTTACACCACCTGCGCCACAACTTAGACCTGCTTTCAGCTGCTCTAATGTTTAGTCAATTTTCAGGCACCAAATTGTCACGTGTGCCGGGGGTGTGTGTGAAAGGAAAACACTCTCGGTCCGCTGGAACACCCAGCCTGCTGCAGCGCCGTCTGCAAGTTCCCAAACACGCTCAATGAGGCTCGCAGCGCCACAAGCCCCCACCCCCCCCAAAAAAAAAGAACCCAAGATGTGCATGTCCGCTGTCTGTTTCAAATGGATACGAAAATAGATGCCTTTCGACATTGCTATCAGATTTCAATCCCAAAAACGCCCCCCAAACCACTGCCGATATTTCCAGTGGCTCTCAGTGCTAAAGCCTGAGGTTGAGGAAGGGTGAAACCAAATATAAATTATTGACACTAAACCTCGCAAAGACAGTTGGACTTTTTTTCGCTGATTGAATTCGCTGAGAAGGTTGCGATCTGAGTATTGAAAGAAGAATTACAGAGTTCCCTTTGGACTTGTTTTTCACCTTTTTAGACTACACCCTGAACTGGTCACCAGCCAGTCGCAGGGCACATACAGAGACAAACGACCATTCACACCCACATTCACACCATTCACCGATTGCGAACCGATCCCACGCTGCCCGCACTTAAGTGAAGCTGAGTGTACCACGACCCATTCAGTGACCATCTCCATGCCATTACTGATCATTCATGACATGTATTTATGTGAAGACATTGATTCTCACCGACTGCGAACCGATCCCACGCTGCCCGCACTTAAGTTAAGCTGAGTGTACCACGACCCATTCAGTGACCATCTCCATGCCATTACTGATCATTCATGACATGTATTTATGTGAAGACATTGATTCTGTAAATTATTTCTCACAAGAATTAGCCAAACTGATAGACATCAGTATGCAGCACTTCAGTTCTATAAATGTCTGTTCTGGACCATTCATGGAAAATTACAATGGCCCACCATTAGAAAAGGCCCGCAGGCTCCTCATGTGGCCCTTAGGGGGCTACCTGGTGCCTTCGAGTGTACAGTGGTACCTCTACTTACGAAATTAATTAGTTCTGGAAGAAATTTCTTCGCGAGAAAATGTTTTAAGTTGAGACGCGTTTTCCATGTAAATGCCTTAATTTGTTCCAAGCCCCCCAAAATTCAGACATAAATGCTTTCTAAAGTATAAAAATGCATCAAAATATGTAACAAATACACATTTCAATTATATTATTGCACAATAAATGAGAGTTGCTTATCATAAGTTTTAACTGCGTCCTCATTGTTTTTTGCCCTCTTTAGTTCATGTTCTCTCTCAGAAGTGGTTTTTGCCTGGTGTTTTGTGAAGAACTGATCCAAGAACGTTTGGTTGGCTTTTAACAATCCTTCGAAAATGTCCACAGCAAACATCAGCAAAGTGAGCCATCACATTTTCATTCACATTTGTGAGATTCACATTTTGTGAGATTCACATTTTCGTCAAACTATTGGAATGCCCCAAAGATGAGGACGCTTCATTGACACATATCTCTCTAGCGACACACATAGACACATACGGTAAGTGATCCCTCTTAGCCAATGGGATGCCAGGATGATGCTTGGTAATAGCCAACGGCAGAGCAGCTATAAGTATGTTGCTCTCATGAAACTCGGAGCTGCGAGTGGCGGCCTATACTGTATTTTTACCTTTCATATCTTGAAATTTCTTTCGTAACAAGAGGCAATATTTTCCTGTTGAGGTGTTTCGTATCTTGAACATTTCATATGAAGTGACGTTTGTAAGTAGAGTTACCACTATATTTATTTAATCTCCCTCCACCCATATAAAACCCACAGCCAGTCATTTCAAGTCTGCTGACAATGACAGTCTCGTTCCATTTCCTGTTTTTCAGTTTCCAAAGATCTGTTACCTGACTGGGAACGACTTCTGGCCTTCCACTTAATAGCATAAAATGACACATAAATATGGGTGAAAAAAAAGTATTTGAGACAATGAGTTACATATACGGTAAAGCGATGTAGCACAGCGGAGGAAGGTAATATTCTCACATGCATCTGGGAAACGTATTCTCGGGTGTCGTCATGCTGGTCTGTAACATACTGGCAAGGAGTGACTCTTGGAGGCTCTGATATTTCTTTGGAAGATATTTGGTTACGGGAGTGAATCTGCAACCTTTTTCCCATCTGGGACATTCATGTAACTTGTAACTCAGTGACAGGAAATGCACATTCCTGCAGATGATGCAACAGGAATCTTGTTGATGTCCACTTACTTCCCCTTCGCGTCTGCATTTGCTTGGCCAGCGTGAAGTATTTTTTTTCGACCGCTAGGTCACAAGACTGCGTTTATGTCCACTGTTTTGAAATAAAAGGAACGGTGGGGTGTTTTCTGTCAAAACAACCGCCTGCTGCGGCAAAAAGCAACATTAGCAGAGCGGATAGAATCAGCCGCTGTGAAAATTTGAGCATAGGGTAGATAAGCCCCATCTTGAAATAATGAGCTCCTGAAGTGTTGGGAATTGACACAGGTGCTCGACAGTAAGCAAGGCCTCGAGCACTGCACACTGTCATTTCGCCCACTGACATCCCGGCTGTTGTGAGAAGATGACCCGGACAAAAAAATAAATAAATAAAATACTTCAACATGTTCCCAGAAGAGGCTTCGATCAAGATGTTTGGATAACTCCGTAACATGGTCTGTTCATGTAATTACAGCCGGATAAGTCCACTGAAGGGAATAAAGCAGGGGTGTCAAACATACGGCCCGTGGGCCAGAACCGGCCCCCAATGAGGTTCGATCAGGCCCGCGGGTTAATTTAAAAGTGAAAAAAATGCATACAAGACGCTGAATGAATATTTTTAATATGATGCAATTCATGGATTATCCGATAGGGGGCACCCTGTTTTGATCAGAGAAGAAGATGACAGCAGTCTCAGTCTGTCACTGAGACAGACCCAACACAGCAGTAAAAGCCAGCTACCTAATTGCTAGCGAGATAGCATTTGCATCAAAGCCGTATTCTGACGGTGACTTTGTTGAACAGATTCATGATGAAGGCGGCTGAACTTGTTCATCCTGAGAAGCGACAAGCTTTTGCCAATATTAGCTTTACGAGGAAAACGATACCAGAGAGGATTTTGGACCTATCAGCAGATTTAGACAGCCAATTGAAACAAAGAGTCAAGTCATTTTGTCAAATGTTTTGTAAAAGATATGTTCGTTAAATATCAACATTTTCCCAATATTCTTATGCTTCTTTTTACCAAAACAAAGGAAATACATAATATTTTGGTTATTTATAGCAGAGTATGGTGTAATTTTAATGGTCCGGCCCACTTGACATCTACCGAGGCCGTATGTGGCCCACAATGTGAAATGAGTTTGACACCCCAGGAATAAAGGGAATTTGTCGCCAGCATCTCTGATTCGTAGTGTAGCCACTTACTGAAAATGAACTGGCCCATCATGTCAATTGGTAGGAATTTAGACCGACATTTTCCACCATTTTTTTTTCCTGAAAGAAGTCCAATATATGGATCAATATTCTCATTTTTTTGGATGTAGCATTTTTAAATGTTCTGGAAAGCGATTTGTTACAACTGCAGCAGTTGTAAAAGCTCGATATAAATAAAGCTGTGTTGTATTATATTGCATTTAGCGTAGCTCCATCTAGTGGATGCATAACGCAACCGCAGCCACTATTGTCGCTTCTATTCTATGCGCCTTATAATGCGGTGCGCGCTATTTATGAAAACAGTTTTTAAAATAGGCCATTCATTAAAGGTGCACCTTATTCTCCGTAGTGCAGGGGTGTCAAACATACGGCCCGCGGGCCGGA